AGAGAGAGAGTGGCGCTTAATGGAAACGGGCCTCGTTAAATTCCCCCGTCCGCGAGTCTTCTCCGTCGCCGTCCGGCGATCGACGCTCCTCCTCCTCCTCCTCCTCCTCCTCCGAGAGAGCTCGCTTTTGCGAGAATTGCGTCGATTTTCCGGCGCGCAACGAAACGTCCCGGTCCGAGGACGGGCTCGCCTCCGCCGTGTCCGTTGGCCCGCGCGCGCGAATTTAACTTAACCGCAATTAGCCGGGAGCCGGAGGCTGGCTTAGGCCGGGGCATAACCGCGGGTAAATTGTAACCGGCACCGGGACGAGCCGGTGCATCGGGAGCGAGCAAACGCGCCCAACGCGGTCCGATCGATAAGCGCGCCGACACGCTGGCCGAGGGCCCGGCCGTCCAGGCCGGAGACGGCCCCGGCCTCCACCGGTCGCCCTGCTCCCGGTTTTTCCGAAACAGGCCGCCCGGAGGAACGGTTCTCGTCTCGCGACGGACGGGTCACGTTTCGTGCCCTCGATTTTTCCCGTAATCCGAGTCGCGTTTTATTTTCTATTCGCTTCAATCTCTCGGGAACGCGCCGGTCCAGGGAAGGGGCAGGACTGCCGGAAGTCGAGGCGATGCATCAAGCCCGAGACGAGCGCGAAAGTAATGCATTCGTTCGGGCCGGGCGAGGGGACGGGAGGAGAAGAGGGTCTCTCGTCTCGGAGGAGCACGAGCCCGAGTCGACGCGCGACCCGATCGCGAGAGGTCGCGAACCGGAGAGGAGGAAATCGCCGCGACGGGAAGGGCGACGAGTGTGGGCTTTCATTATGCCGAGAGGGGGACTTCGTTACCGTGTGCGCCGGGTTATACGAGGAGGACGGCTCGAGTTTCGGCGCGGAACAACCGGCACGCCGAGTACGCGCCGGCCGACGTAAACGGCGAGCCTATGCGCTCCCCCGGGAACGGGGGAGGCGACGTCCCGGAACTGGGTCCGATCTCTCCTTCCTCTTCGGTCCGGGAGACGTCGTCGAATTCCACGAGCCCGGAATTCTACGCGGCACGAATTGCGCGGGACCTCGCAAGACGCCGCGATATATTGCGGCGTTTCCGGCTCCCACGGTTCCCGACTTGCCTCGACGGGAATAAAAAGCGGCCTTACGAGGAAAAACGGGATTTCGCGGGATGTTTTCGCCCCGCGATAATTTCCCCGCAACGCGCGTCCGCGTTTAAGTCGAAACTTTGCGGAATTCCGAGGCTCGTGGATGCGGAGGTCGCCATTCGGTCGGAAACGGAGCGGGAATGAGAGAGATGCGGAAAGTTGATGCTCATTGGGAACCCTTTTTATCGGCTCTTTTTTATCTTTTACGGGCTCCGGGGGAAAAGTTACGGTTTTCTCGCTTTAGGCGCGTTGGCGGAGGTCCAGGCCGATGCGCGGCGATCGGACCGGGAGGTAAACCGAACCGGAGGAAAATTGCGAGCCTAACCGAACGAGTTATCGCTTCCAGCGGGACGGAGAACGATACGCCGGGGCGGGCGAAGTACGTGGTTTGCGGATCGGAATGAATTTTAACGAGGGCAACCTTCTTCGACGCGGAGGGAAGCGCCGCTCGAGCAGGAGAGGAGCATCGCTAAAAATGAGCGCGTCACGACGAAAGCTCGTTCAGCTCGCTCCGGCACTTTTCAGAAAACTTCCCCTTTCAGGGAAGAGCTATCTCCCTCCCTCGGTACAAATGGCATATACCGTTACACCGCCTAAGACCCTCGAGATCCTCCCACTCGCCTTCCAGTAAACTGTGAGAGAATTTGCATGTATATTTTAACTTAACACCGGCGTATCCTTTGAGTCGCGTAACCTCGGGTCGGAGTCCCGGAGAACTCGGAAGTAGCTGTCCTCTGCTTCCCCGAACGCGTTCCCATCGAGAGTGCGAGGGGAAGGCGGCCTCTCCCTCGTTATTTTTCTTTTAATTTTACCGTCTACCCTCGACCGAGTCGATCGTCGCCAATGACGGTTCGGAGTCGACGTCTATCCCTCCGAGACCCGATCGATCGATCTCGCGTCGGAGCTTCGTCGACCGACCGATTAGGTATCGCGTCCTTTCGTTGTCTCCCTCCGAACGAGGGCTTTGGTTTCGCGAGCAACTCGGGTGCGACCTCGTCGGCCCTGTTCCGAAATCGTTGCACGAGTTCCGGGATCGCGTCCCACTTGGCCCTGTCAGTCACGCGGATTGCCGCGCCGGATTCGGTACCGCAGGGGCTTGCGGCGAAAATCCGCCCAGGGAAACTCGACGAAAAAGGAAGTAATCTCGACGGTGAGCCGAAATAAGGGTTAACGCGAGGATTCGAGGATCGAAAAACTGATTTCCGGAAACCGGTCGGCCCGTTTCGCATCGAACCCGACTCGCCATTTTGCGGATCGACGCGTCGGTTTCCCGGTCTCTTCTCCTCCGTCCATCGACGAACGAGAGAGTTCCTCCTTTCGCCTCCGAGAGGGCTTCCCGATGGATTAGCGTTCCCGGCGCCTCCCTTTGCGGGAACTCTTCGCGTCGTTTGCGGCGGAGTCGGGCGAAGAGGGCGACGGTCCTGGCTTTAATCTGCATTGGATTATAATCTTTCAAAGGACAGCGATGCATTTCATTATGCCGCAGCCACCCAGGAAAATAGGTCGTTACTTGCGGCGCCGGGAGGCCAAAGGGAGCCGCCGGCGATGCGCGTTGTCCCGGAGACCGAATTACCCGGGCGAACCGATGACTAAATTATTCCTTGGCGCACGGGGGCGCATTTAGCGTCGGCCACCGAGCGTCCTGGAACGAGAATGGGAGGTGACGCGAATATCGGCCGATAGCGCGTTCGGAGAAAAAATACTCGAGAGCGTGGGCAGCCGTTCCTTGCGCGAGTATCCCGGAAAATCACCCTCTTTCCCGCGTGGATCCCTTTCCCGAGAGACACGGAAGATTAGTGCCCTCCGACACGGCCCGGTACATCCCATTTCGCCCTAATAAAACCAGCCGGTGACCCGCTTTATGTACTCCCTGTAGCGGCCGAAATGGCGACAAGTCACCCTCCGAGTACCGACGACCCCGTCCGCGCCCGGGCACGCCTTTACTCCCCGCGACGCGGAGTAAAGGCTTCCACCGAGTGGGACGTTACGAGCCAATAAGAGGGCTTTTACGCGCGGAACCAGGTGTCCCACCCGCGAGGCCCTCGCCGGTGTCGCCGCGATCGCGGACGATGCCTCCGTAACGTTTCGCGGACATCTCGTCGAGGTCGAAACGATCCCGATGTCGGGATTCAGCCGCGGATCGTAGTCGTTGCGGGCGCGTCCAGGATGGCCGCTCGGTCACGAGCGGGGTCGAGGAGCGCGACCTCCATTCGGATTTTGGCAACGTCACTGGGGACGGAGCACTTGGAAATGATGCATCGCCCTTGTAATTCGCGCGCATTACGTAATGAGCGAATGGAACGGCCAGGTGACGGTTCGCAACCCCCTGGCACGCCAACGACCATTTACCACAATTGGAGGATAATATCGAGCGCAAAAAACGACCGATGATTTTTCTTCCCGCGGGCGTGGGGCCACGCCACCCAATTGCAGACTCGGCGGCATTTAATTTCACCCCGTGCACGATTGGGCGTAATTGGTAACCATTAATTACCGTTCATTACCGTTTACCCGATGAGGAATTTTCGGATTTCGGGATTGCGCTCGGCGTCGAGCTCCGAAAAAAGGAGGAAAATTAACCCGGGGTGGAATCGCCTCCGAAAGGGCGAGACGGGAGCTCTAGGGGAGGAGACGGAGATCCAAGTCTTTCGGGAATTCGCACGTTTCCGGTTATCCTCCCCAAAATCAACACGCACCGAGCGGTCCTCTCACGCCTTACGGCTCGATCGGGCGCGATAAACGCGATCGCGGATTTCGGGAGCGCCTCCACCCCGACGCGACAGGGGCAAAGCCGAAGGCTCCGTCCCGGCGCATAACGGCGATCGCTATTCGCGTCACGTCCGCCGCGAACCGCACGCATCGAAGACAAACAGTTGTCCAGTTCCGGTCAGGGTGGACGAGTTCGGTCCTCGGAGGAATAATCAAAGGTCGGCCGGTTCGAGCAGCTCGCCGAGACAAATAATTGGCCGACAAATAACCCCGTGAGCCCGAGCAAATAGGATATTCCCGAGATACTCGGTGGCTCGTTCGTCGCCTCCGATTGGGTTAAGGGCCCCACCGCCCCTTCGCGCGATCGTCACGCCGGGAATGATACGTCGGAGAGAGGAAGGGCGCGATCCGGTTTCCTTGGTTCGGGACGAGTCGTACAAATTCGACGGATATATACGCGAAACGCGAGTAAGGCCCGGAAGAGCTATCTGCCGCTCATCGTCTCTCGGCCCCGGCCATTCGTTCCTGCGTAGGCCGAGGCTCTAATTTCGCATTGCCCCGAGAACGCCGAGATCGCCCCCGGCCGAGGCAAGGTGCCTCGCAAAAGTGGGTGCTTTTTCAATTTCCGCGCCTTTACCCGGGCAACGATGGACGGATCATTTTTCCGAAGTTTCTTTGTTTTCCCAATTCGCATCGAGAGACCTTCGGGCCCCGATTTACGAGGGCCCTCGCGGGTTCGCGAGTGACGCGCGCTCTTGCGCCGCGCTAACTCGATTTGAGGACTTTCGCCTTTTCGATTAGCGCAAGCGGGCTGTTCGTTATTCGAAACGCGGGGCGGATGCCCGATTCGATTAACTTTGCAGATTTCGAATCATTTGCAGTAACGGGGTAATGGACGAGTCCTCCGAAAATAGGTTGGCCGTGATTCATTTCATTTTGAGCAATGTAATTTGGAAATTGGTCGGCGGAAAAGGCGAGCCAATCTCTCCCCGAGCTCGATACAATCCCTCTGTGCGTATTACTTTCGCAGAGGGATTTCGCCGACGATTCGAAATTGCCGGATTCGGACGAGTTGACCGATCGTTAACGGCGGCCTACCGCCGAAGCACGCGGAGGCCGGTAATTAAAAACGCATTCGCACTCGGAAGATGACTCACCGGGACGTTGTTCAGCGTGAAGGAGAGCCTCGTGGATGGCCTCGAGGGCGGCGAGCTGCAGTTCGCCCTCAGCACGTCTCCGGGGTCGTAGCGCTCGCGCTCCGATACGATGACGGGCCTGCCCTCCGGGAGAGCTGAAACGTTGTTGGAATTACTTATGCGGGGGATTTGGGCAAGACGGACGAAAAAGTTCCCGGAGTTCCTCGTGGCCGGGATAACGGAAGGGAAAAAAAAAGGCCGACGTAAAACGGCCGCTTCCATCGAATTCGGACGTCGACGTTACCTTCCCTCGTCGAGTGGCTCACCGTCGACGGGACGTTCGGCACGTATGATTAAAAAAAGGAAAGAAAGCTCGGGGAGAGAAAGAGGAAAAATTGTACCGGGACGCGGGAAGTCGAGGGGTCGTTTGGGGGCGTCATAATCACGGGTTTTCCCTCCGCGAAACTTATCCAATTTTCCTGTGGTAACCCGGCGGTGGGCAGGGGGTGGGTGTCGTATTCCGCCGTTTCCTACGTAAATTCGCGCACGTACGCGCGCGTAGGCGCGGCCGAAGCCGAGGGGTTGCGGAACGAGCGGCACCTGTACGGTTTCGCCTAGTTTCCAGGTGAAATTCAGGATGGAAACGCCCAGATCGAGTTCCGAAACCCACGACTCGCAGGGCCGCCGGGGCGCCGCCGAATAAACCAGCTGATTCGCGAAACGATAGGGCGACTGAGCGAATCGAGGTACGTGGCGGGACGAGCGCAGCACCCTCGTCCAGGTTGACCGCTCCGGGAAGCCTCGTCGCTGCTTCGACGTCTTCGGTCGTCGGCCACTCTTATTCCCGAACGGAAGAATTTAATTCCCCTCTCCGTAGCCGCTGGCCGCAAGAGGAACTTTACGGGAAAACGGACTTTGCAAGTTTTATTAAGCCCCGAGCGAGGCGCACGTGGTCCGAAGGGCCTCGAGGGCGTTATTTTCGCCACCTAATCTCCACCTGCGACCCGGAGGGTCCGAAAACGCGCCGCTCTGCCTTTGAATTATAGCTTCGTAATAGCGCTCGATGGCAAAGCGATGAGTTACGCTCGCCCGATAAAATGTAACTCGGATTTACCGGAGGACAGCGAAATCACGTTTAGTTCCCCGGCGGCCGTTTCGCAGACTTTCCGCCTCCTTCTCGATCCGCCGAACCCGGAGTCATATTTTCCTACCGAATCGTCACGGAACGGCGTTACGAGCCGAGGGAACCGGGAACTCTTCGCACCCTTCCCAGGGCGTATCGCGTCCGATTCAAGCAGGGGAGTCAATGCAATTTGGGAATGCCAAGGGGACGTCGGAGGGTGGGTGACTCCCGCAAATTGCGTGCCCAGCGTCTGGACGCTTATCTCGACGATCCGTTATCGCGGGGAATGAAAATCATACGAGCGGCATCGGCCCAGGGCGAGAGGCGCCGATAATGATAAAAACAAGAGAGACGACGTCGTGGCCGTAAAACGAGGCGGAAACGGCACGTACGGCGCAACCTACCCAGTGTTTCCACCCCGGGAAAGTCGATGAAACGTAGGAGATTCTCCTTGAGTTTTTCACGGTGCACTTCCCGGCGCACTTGCCGACGTCGTTTGTAGCCCGACCGAACGCGCGCATCCGCCGGGACAGACGCATCCCATAAACGGACGTTCCGACGGTCCGGAGAATCTTCAACCCGCCGAGGCCCTCGGAAGGACCCTCTGATTTTCCGGGCTCCCCTTTTCGGAAGGCACTTGGGTTTTCGGGAAATACGAGCGGAGGAACCGCGCGTCGAAGTTTATCCGGGAAAACAAGGGCGGTGCTCGAGGGTGCTCGTGTAAATGCATATTTAGTCGCGAAATACGAGGGACTTCCCTTCCCCGGGCTCGAGGATTTAAAAGGTAACGTATCGTCTCGGAGCTTCCGGGGGAAGGTTCGCTATTCTTGCGATCCCAGCAGATGCTCCGTGGGAACGCGCCTTCGGGGCCGAATGGACCGAGTGGGGAGATAAATTCCGGTGGGTCGCGGTCCGGTTTGTCGGGGAGTCATTTTTCCGTCTCTCGGCAAATAATCGCGATGGAAAAAGCGATCCGAGGCGCCCGAGTGTTTTCGAATCTCCTTTGCGAGGACATTTTTCCCGGTGATCGATGACGTGCTGCTGCGATACCGTTGCGAACTCCGGCCGGGGATAGGTGAAAACGGAATCATCGGCGATTCGTCCTCGTCGCGGAGTAGGCGAAATAAGACGCTTCGGCGATGGAAAATCCAGGCAAAGGCGTTAAGTATTCGGTTACGGTGCGCTAAGTCTCTCGTAAGTCCGCAAGGGGCGCGGCTCGCGGTGTCGAGCAAAGACCCGGACCGCGACAAAGTGCGTTCTTGTCTCGGCGTCCAAAGTGCCGAGCAGCAGCGCGAAAACCCGGAGCGTTACTCGCGGATTTACCTCCCCGCCGAACAGGACGAGCTTAATAACGCCCGGTAACGAGGAAAGTTTTCCACCGAGTCCCGGGGAATCGAAGGTACGAAGTCGCGGCCCTCTTAAGGCTGTCCGAGTGGGGGATTCGTTTCCGCGATCCGCGTGGACTCGGACGAGTTCCAAAGTAGCTTTTTACGACCCCCCCTGCTCGAAACGTTTCGAGCCGAAAAGAGTATTTCCAGCGTTTAAAAAAATTCCACCCTTCGACGGACGGAATTTTCAAAGTCGAGGGAGGATCGAGGGTCGAGGAACACCGAGGAGCGAGACGTCGACTTACCCACTACGGTGAGCGTCTTGGAGACGAAGGCCGTGGAGAACTTCGGGGCGTCGGCGGTGACCTCGCAGCTGAAGCTGCCGGAGAGCCCGAAGTCGACGTTGCGGATCATCACCTGGCTGTCGTTCGAGTTCGTCAGCTGTAAAAAGGTAAGCGGACCGCTTGAGTGGCCGGGGCGAGGAGCGGGAAATCGGCGACGGGGGCTTTCGAGATATAAATTGAACTGGAAAGGGCGACCGATTAGGCGCGAGGAACGGGAAACCGCGTTCCGCCTTGCACCGACCTCGGTCTCGCTCGGGACCGTTTGTTTCGTTTGAACAAATTTGTCGACGAAACGTTTTTCCATTTTTTTTCTCTCCGCCCCCGAGCGCTCTGACTTTTCCCGCAATGTTCGACGCGAAGGAATTTAATCCCAGCCATTGCATTTGGAATCGGCGATCGGGCGCGAAGCCGGCGGGCACCCTCGAATTTGCGTTAAAATGGAGGACCCTTTTTCGAGGTTCGCCCTGGCGCGACCCCCGCGCGTTTTTCCTTTTAATTAACGCCGGAGGATGGGAATTTCGGCGCCCCCGATAAAGTCCACCCGGGCACAAATGGCTGATTTATTTTGAGCGACGCGGCTTTACGTCCCTCCCCGTTTTTCCGAGAAGAGGGAGCGAATTTCTTCCCTGAGATATCTCGGTTGAAAAATTTAGGGAGCGCCGGATGACTACGGCGTCCCCGGGGACCGTCTTCCGGAAGGGAAGCGGACGACCGCGTTTCCTTTTGTTATTAAGAAACCACCTCCGCGTGGCCGCGATCTTTGTAATATCACCCCCGAGGGGCCACCCTCGGAGGTTGTTTCTAACGAATAACTTTACACGTGTCCTTATCTGCCGGGCAAGACCCGACTACTTCCCCGCCTCGTGCGAGATACGCGTCGACGAAGGTCGACCGAAGGGAGGTGTAATTCGTTATTTCCCGAAGGGTTAAAAGGGGAGATTTAGGAGGACCGAAAACCTCGGGTAACGGCTACGCGATGACCTCGTATTCGCGAGATCCCGTCGTCGAATCTCGCCGCGCCATCGTCCGCGGTTCGTTGCACAAAAGACCGAGCACAAAGAGGTTAAACTCCTTCGCGGTGGTTCCCGTTAATACCCGGTCTTTCAATTTAACGCCATTTTGAAAATGGCTTCCCCCGCCCCGGCGTCGCGGCGGAAACTTTGCGGCGTCTCGCGGGAGGGTGCTCCTTCGGAGAAAGAGGAGGCGGTCGCTTCTCGGCGGGGTCGAAGGGTCGCCGGGGATGAGAACCCGGTCGTATTCCGAGGGCGACGCGGGACGCGTTACGATAACGACTCGAGAGCGGCATCGTTAGTCGCGACCCCGTGATTCGCAAAAACCGGCGAATGGCTCGCGAGTGGTTCTCGGCGGGATTAACGAGGGGTGCGAAGAGGCCGAATTATTCCTCGCCGCCTTCGTTGCGGGACAACGGTCCTGTCCGCGGCGGAAAACGCGCGCGAGCCGAATCGCGACGACGCGCCCCTGGGGAAAACGATCGCCTTCGACCGACCGAGTGCATTGACGCACTCTCCGGGTTTAGTTGAAACAAACTGGAAGGGACGCGCATAATTGGGGTAGTTTCGACGCGACGCCGACCCGCTCGGAACTTTGCCCGTTCCACCGTCCTTGTCGCGTCGAGCCCGTTTCACCTGTGGAGAGCCTCGATTCGGCAAGAGGGCCCTCGAAGGAACCCTTTCCGCCCGGCTCGGTTAATTCGTTACGAGGGGTAGATTTTTGCGATTACCCGCGTCCGGATCGGCGGCATGTGGCGTCTGCCGGTGTCGCGTTCGGCGGCTCCATTTAACCGTATAACGATACGAAGGGCGATTCGAGACGGAGGACAACGTGGCGAGTCCGCAATTCGAGGCGCGAAGTCCCGCAACGGCGAATACTCGGCCCGGTCGGCAGCTGTTGGCTTCGCGAGAGGAAAGGGAAGGAACGAGGGCGCAAGAATTCGGACTCGAAAATCGGTCACCTGGAAGTGGCGAAAGCACGACGCGCGGGGTCTGGACTTATCGGCGCGGAACGGTGGCGTGGGCGAGGGACGATAAGAGCCGCGCTAACTTGGTGTTTGCGCATCGTTTGCTCGACCTCGAAGCGACAGAGGGGCGAAAAGGCCGACGCAGGCGTGCGGGGACGAGGTCCGTACCCGCGCGCGAGGGTGGCCGGACACGCGGGCAACGCAAGCTTTGCGTGAAATCGCTTCGAATGATATACAAGCGCGTTACCCCGAGTCGAGGACATTTAGCGGGACGTTCGGCGATCGACGGGCAGGACGCGCTTTGACGGACGTCGATCGAGCCGTTGCGCGAGGTCAAGGGTGACGGTCTCCCCGTTGATTCTCGTCCGCTTTCGACGACGCGTCGATCGAAATCACGAGGCGTTAAAAATAACCCCGAAACGTGCGCGTTTTACGATGACGGGGGCGGCGAGCGATTCCAAGAGCGAGCATCGAGCACCGCGTAAACCGCGATCGGCCTCGAAAGAGGCGTCGCGAGTACGTTTTGACGTTTGACCGCCGACCGCGAGTGCGGCCCGACACGAGTGTAACGCAAACGGCGGGATCGCTCGAGCGGGGATAAAAGCGCGATAAAAGCGCGACGCGATTCTCCTCGAGGCGCCCCGCTTAGCTCGTGCAACTCCGACCGACGAATCGACTGACGCGGGTCGCCCGAAACGAGGCGAAATCTATGCACATTCACCCCTTCCGGCCCGATGAGCGATTCCGCCCCTTCTCGCCGTTATCGGCGCGAGCGACACCCCGGAGGAGCAGCTCTTCCTCGATCGACGGATCGATCCCGCCGGGGACGCGCGGGTTCTCGCGGCGGAAAAATGTGTAAATAATGCAACCGGCATAGGGGTGCGGGCGAAACGCCCACCCGTCGACGACCAGAGGGAGGATTCGGCCATGATTGCGCGTCGCTGTTTTTTTGGGGGAGGCGGTTTGCGTTTCGGCCGCGCGGTTCGTCGCGGGTCCGTGATGCTTCCGTTGTCGCGGTCAGTGGAACGGACCGCTTTTGCGGGGCGAACGAGGACCCTCGCATAGGTTGGCGGTCTCGCGGGACGCGAAAAACGAGGATTTTTTGAATGGCATTATTTTTGCGATTTTAATTTCGACGGGTCGCGAGGCGAGACGCGTCGTTCCTCGGTACGGCGGTTCGCCCGAGGGAGGATTTCGTTGCGATGATTTATCGTTGACGTTTTTAAGGTCATTATTGGAGGACGTTTTCGCGGACAGGGTCGGAAAGGGTTAATCGATGCCTCGGTGGTTTTCGACGCGCAATCCCGGCGGTGACCGTGACGGCTCTCTAATGATGGCGACGATTAAAACGTAGGCACGCGGACGCGCATCAAGGAGCGCAGTCGAATCGCGCCCGCCTACGCGTTGCGATGTTTTTGGGCGAAATTGTTTAACGCGACCGCGAGTACTCCACAAATTGCGGGCGTTAGCGTCCGAGTCCGTTCCGCCCGCGCGATCGAATGGACGAACGGCGGACGCGGAGCCGCGGTGACCGAGTGACTCTACCTTTGAACCCTCCGGGGGCGCACCGCTCGCGTTTCCGCCGGGCGGAGGCCTAGAAGGGCTGCGGCCGAGGGGCCGAGGGCGGTTTGGACGACCCGGTACTCACGTCGACGTCTATTCCGGTGATGTTGAAGATCTTGGTGGCCGGAGTCTCGCTGGGCGAGAATCGGTAGAACTCGTGCGTCCCGCGGTACCACTTGAGGGAGTAGAGCGGGGCGTCCTCCAGGTCGTAGTGGCACCTCAGGATCGCCTCGTGACCGCGTTGCACCGCCTCCGGAACCACTTCCAACCTGACGTCCCGCAAGCACCTTGCACCTTGGAGGAAACGAGAACAGAAACGGAGCGTTAAGTCCGGGGCGCATCATTAGTCCGCTTTAACGGAACGGGCTGCACGCGAGTCAGCAAGGAATTGCAATTTCAGCAAATGACGCGGCCGCCCTATTCCGCCCTATCCCGCCCTATCCCTCGCGCTATTCCGCCTCCCGGGCGGCCGAGCGAGCGCTACTCCGCCCGCCGCGCTCTCGACCTCGGATTATCGACGTTTTCGCGTTGACACGGCCTATTAAGCCCTGGCGGCTCTTGCCTCCAATTGGAATTCCTATTCAAATAATCCCTGACACGGGACGTCAAATAAGCTTCCTTTTTCCCCAGGGCGCGTTCGTTTCATTCGCGACACAGCGCCGCGAGAATCCGACCCCGAGAATCCGGAATCGAGCGCCGGAAGTGACCGGAAGTGGCCGGAGCCGAGGCGACTCGACGGGAGGGACCTCGTTTTTCGCCGGTTCCTTTTCGCTGACTCGATAATCAGCGCGATTATCGGAAAATAATTCGACGCGCGGGTTGCGAACGATTGACATGTTTCGGTGACATCCATCGCGGGACTACACGCGAAACAAAGGGTCACGCGTAAATTGCAATTTGTGACGATATTAATTGAATATTTGGATCGTAACGTTCCCGTTACCTTCAAATCAATGCCGAAATTGAGCGCGACTTGGTAATTGCCCGTGCTCGTAACCCGCGAGGGGCAATAATTATAAGCCGATTCGTTGTATTACGTGTTTGCTAAATTAACCGTGATAACTAATTGAACGGGGAGTCGCATTGAAGAACACGATCGAGGTATCGTCGGGACGAGACCCGAATCGAAAGGTCGTGGAATTTCATCGAAAAATTCCGACGTTACTGGGTTAATGGTTATGACGGCATGCAGAGGCAAATAGAGACATTTGCGCGGCGGTACGTGAAATCGCGTCCACGATCGGCGCTGTTCAATCGCGGGGGCAAAATTAGCGAGTTTAACCAAGCTTACGGTTAAACCGTAATCCCGAAGATTATACAGGCTGTCCCGTAATTCGCGCTCGGTAATTACAGAGGGCGTGATACCCACCGCGCGAAAAATGAGCTAATGAAAGTGCATACGAAAATTCGAAAAAATCGCACCCCGGTTTCGACCAATTCGGCAGGGGAACCGGTCCTCGCGTTTTTACCTCAATTTATCCGAGCTTCGAGCGGGATGGGTGACTTCGATCCTTGCGGGCCCTCGAGGGTGGATTTACGGTGCCCCAGTTCGGGACATATTTTTATCAAAAGTTCCGCCGGCTCAAAATCGCATAAACCCATCTGCGACATTTTCGGACTCTGATGAGAAACCGTCAGCAAATAGGAAATGACTTTTCGAAACCGTTTCAAGTACGGCCATAAAGGGGAAAGATACCGACATCCGCGCCGCGGTACGAGAAAACGCTCGCGGTCCGGAGCGTTTCCCTCTCTTCAACTTTGAGATTGAAAGGGATCGTGAAAAATTTAAACGGACGACACACTTCGGCTCCTGGGACCACCTTTGAGGACCGGTTCGCTTCCCTTCCGGTAATTCTCGAGGACGGTCGGTCGACTCTCTCGCCTCATAGGCAATCGCATAGGCAATCGTCCGACCCCTCCGCGTTTTCCTCGCTAATGTCGAATTCATCGCGCCTTCTTTCCCCTAATTGCGAGGAAAAGAAGGCTAATTACTCGGACTCGTTGTACCGTTCCGGTGTTTTCCCTTTCAACGGACCGGCAAGAAGCCGCGCCATTTCGAGCCTCCTAACACCGCAAGAACTTTCGGACGCCACTCTTTTTCCTCCTCGGCGGCCCGATATCGAGCGACAAGGCATCCGGTCTTCCTCGGCGAGCAAGGACGCTCGTCTCGCGTCCCCGTTTGGCCGAAGGCTGAAGGAATCTCCCGGGATAATTAAAACTGATTACCGCTCCCTTTTCAGGGCGGAAAGGCAATTATTTCTCTTTTAATATCTTCGCATTACTCGCCGTCGGACGAGACCGAGAGACTTTTTTCCTCTCCGTTTTCCGGGAAGGCGCCTTCGCCCGTCGATCTACGGGCCTCCTCTTCCTCCCGTAATTTTAGATTTGCAATTAACTTTTAACGACGACGCCTCCCGGTGTTTCGACCAGGAGAACGAGATCGACGCCGGGACCCCTTCGGGTTCCATCTTCGTGCCCTGTGAATCGAAGAGCGGACCATTTTCGTGACTCGTTAAACGTTGGACGGGCTCGAGGGAAGAACGCGTCAGAATCTCGATTATTTCCCGTAACGAATGGTCGCGATTCGCCGGCAGATAATCTCGCGGAGACTTTTTGAGCGAGTGGATGTAGTCGTTTTGCTAATATCGGATGAAGGAGCGGGAAATGGCGTGTCGCCCGGAGCTCGGATTAGAGCACGCGGGCCGCACGGTGGGAAGGCGGCAGGCTGTCGTTGGGAAATATTCACCTGATTAAATATTATTTGAACGACCGCGGAATGGCCGGACGGGACGGAAAATCGCGTTTCGACCGATCACCGCGATAACCGCGAAACGCCGACGTGCATTTTTTACGACCACGTCGAAACCGCCGAGTGCCAACGGCACGACACCTTTTACCCACGCACGAAATACTGATAACTAGCGTTTCCAGATTCTCGATTCGTAAATATGAAATGCCCTGTCACCGAGTCGTTGCGAACGGAGCTCCGGCCTCTGAATTGAATTTTGCGGATTAAACGCCGCGATTGCGCCGCAATGCGGCCCTGACGTTGGGATTTTTACACCGGGGTTACTTCGACCGTCCCCCTCGCCGGCTCTCATTATTTATCGCTCGTCCTCGCGCGCTTTTCATCGAATAACCGTGACGAACCGTTGAACCTAATAAATCGAACAAATAATCCGCAATGTGCCCCGCGACTTGATGTTCCGCGTACAATTAAAGTCCAACGATCGATAACCTTGTTGCCGCGAGCTGGTCGAAATTACCGCGAGGCGCGTTTCGGGCGGTTCAACAGTAGTATCGAAAGAAAAAATGAAGGAAAGAGGAAAGAACGGGACGGAGTGGCGGTAAAAAAAACTCGGGACAGTCTTTCCTCGCTCGATGCGAATTTATCATCGGAAAAGCGTTCGCCCGTCTCGGTCGCGAAAGTGTTCGCGGCCGCGGAAAAGGCGGGACGTTTTCCCTCGCTTGGAGGATTCGCGAAGTGCCGCATTAAATCTATCGCTGCTTATTGTCGGTGCCACTCGCGGGACAAAGGGGCTCGGAGCGGAACCGGCTCGAAACTCCACGAGGTCGAGAGCTCGCAGTGAATCATGTTCGGTAACAAACAGATTTAGCATCGAAGGCGCATAGCCGCCCCCTCGGGGGAAGTGCCCTCTTGGGCGGCAGACTCACAAAGGAGTGCCTTGAATTATTGCGAAAACTTGCCCGATTTCGGATACGACGAAGCCGGAGGGTGGAGGTCGAGCTGGAAAGGAGCTGATCGGTCGAGGGCGAATTATTGCGTTATACACGGTGGTTAAGCCGACGCCATCGTCGAGAAACGCGACGACGTCTGCATTCGCGATTGCAACGCGGACGAGAGTATCCGCGTTACGATACTTACGGACGGATAATCGGCGGTAAAGTACGTATGTCTCGTCAGCGGTTATCGATTATTCTACCTCTTTCTACTTAGGCACGATAAGTCGGTCGATCAAATTCAGGCCCAACCGGGGCACATCGCGTGCGCAAGTTTGATTGGAAAGCTTCTTACTTTAAGAGCGGAAGCACGAGTCGATATTATAGATGCGGGATCGCGAGCACGCGATATAGCTTCGGCAGGAGTCCGGTCATCCATTTTCGAGACATTATAGGACGGTGCCGCGCGGGTTCTTTATTGCTGCTTATTGTCGTCGCTAGTTGCGAAGTAAAGATATCGAGTGGGAAAAGAGGTCGGAACTCCTCGATCTGGAGAGCTCGGTAACAAACAGATTTAACATCGAAGGCGAATAGCTTGCTTCTCGAAAAAGTATTCCCGTGGACCGAGAATTCGCGAGAGAGAGAGACTTGAATTATTGCGAAAAGTTCTCTGATTTCGGGAGCGCACGGGCTCGGGGGTCGAAGGGGGGCCAGCGGTGGACGGCCGACCCGTTGGAAAGAAATTATCATAAATGATAATTCGTCTCAAAATTAAGGGGATAACGATCAATGGGAGTCTCTCGAGGCCCTAGAGTTCTCCAAACTGTGGGCACGAGGCTTCGCAACGGAGACGAACAGGGGAATCTAATAAAGCCGCGGCCGAAGCTGATGGGCTACGGTGCGAATAAGGGAACGAGCTTCGGGGCTGGATATACGCGTACCTTAGGGACAGGGAGGGGTTGGGACATTTGCAAGAATAACGAACTTCAAACGGCAGCTCGTTGCGACGCTAATTATCCCGGTGTACGTTTGCGATTCCCCCGACCCCGAGGAGCTGCACCGGAACGCGAGCGCTGATGAGTCTCTGATGGGATTACGCGACCGCGCGCACTTGGCGAGCCGTTCTTCGACGACATTTTTACCGGATGCCCGACCCAGGTCCTCGGTCCCCGGGCCGGCCAAGTTCCAAATACGGGGACCGCGGATTCGTCCCCGGCTCAAAGGCCTCGAGGAACCAAATGCCAAGATAACGCCAGATTCGAATCTAATAGACGGCCTAAGTTGTAAAGGGGCTCGATCGAGACGAAGCCCGGGTCAGAGGGGCGAGGGGGTAACGGAGCGCTCCCTCCGCTAATGGAGGCTCGCTAAAAGCGCGTGACGAGCGTGGAGATCGAGAATCGGCCGGCGAGTTTTGCGACAGGGTGGAAAATGAAAAATACCGAGGGGGAGAGAGTGGAACGGAGCGGGCCGCCGTCACCGACAAATGAAAATGAAGCGTAACGAGGCTGGATGTCGAAAATCCGCGATACATCGCGTTGCGTAAAAGCAGGCAATTCGTAACTCCATCAGTCGATGGAAACAAAAATAACACCGGCCCTGCGGCGCGTAGAGGG